GCTCGTAATGCCTGCTCTTGCTCGGATATTACAAGTAGTACATACATATAACTAAGCGGATAAGTATGTTTCGTATGAATGCATTTAGCGCAATTAAATTTATGAGCACGCATCCATGAACGCCCCTACTGTTGCAGTTTTTATTTTTTCACTTTTGTGGGCGTGTCACATAACGAATGGCAAATGGCATTTGTGGTGATCTCTAACAAATGCTGAACATATTCCAAACACCTATGTACCTCTCACTCTCAAATGGAATTGCAAGCAACAAAAAAAAAGAGCATATGTATGTTAATAACGAGAAAAAAAGCAAATCAGCAACTAAGCGCACCAACAGGCACCTCTGAGTTTCCGTTTCCGTTGAGCAGCACCATTTTCTACTTCTTTCATTCAAACACCAAATGCACTGCAACTGTTTGTAATTGCAATCAACAACAACAACAGCAAAGTACCAGCAAACTACAACCAATGCACTGACGCTCGTTCTAATGCAAAAAAAAAAAANCAGCAATCGCAATAGCCAGTAAAAAAAAAATAATAATAATATGTGCCTGTTATGCGGCTCCTTCGTATTATTTCAATCAATCAATACAAGCTACAAACCAATGTACGATCATCGCCATAAATGAGATCACAAACGCCAGCGACCCACCAACTACTAACCCCCAACCGCCAACGAACTCCAAAGCGACCAACTGGCCAACGTTTATCAGCTGCAAAACTGCTTACAAAATACAAATTTTTGCCAGAGTCAACGATTAGCTGCGAAATGCTTGAGACCAAATACATAATTTAATGCCATTGGTAAGTATTTAATGAAAAGAAAACGAAAAATGCAAATGTTAAATGAAATTTATTACAAAGCAGGCAATTAAACCCGCTGACTAAAGCAACTTATTCGAAGAAATGTAATTAAAGAGATTTTGTGCGAAATTCTAAGTATTTAATGCATTAAGTTGCTATGTGTCAGAGACCTTGTGGAACAAACGTTTTTTTCGCGCGACTCAACAGAAAATAATTTTTTAGTTGAGTTTCTGTTTTTTGTTATCATTTGTTAAATTTGATATATATTTAGTAAAACAGCTGGTGGCCTAAACAACTTAACAATGAATAAAAAGCTCAGTTTTCTTAGGATTTAAATAAATTTTCACTACTTTCTGTAAATATCACAAAAAGTTACATATATACTATATACAAAACAACTGTGTTAGTTAACTGTAAAGTCAATTACCTACACGACCTAATTGTTTTTGTTTTTCCTTATTACATAATCTAGCTTATCTATAATTATAGCGGTGCATATGTACTCTTAACTATCAGCCGTCATGCCGCCTATCATAAATATGTGATGATTATTTACCTATACATACAT